AGGAAGAACATGTTGTTGGCCCTTAATGCCCCTTAGACCTTTGCCTAAATGGGAATAGAACCTTAAAACATCTTAAAACATAGACTGCATCACTGAGCTGGATGTTGAGATGTACGTGAGAGTATGCAGATTCCTGACCTGCGAAGACCTCCTCATCATTTGCCCAAGATCGAACTTCAACTTGATTGTTACCAAAGATTGACTTTAACTATGGAAAATCACAATCTTTAATACGTAAATCAACTATAAATGGGCCATGTTCAATAGCTATGTTAAATTACCAGAGGGATTTTTTTTTGAATACATAGACAGCCAATTGTGGTGAATGAACCTTGTGAATCACAATGGTTGGTGCAGCTCAATGGCTATGCAACCTGCTATAATAGTCCATGTGCGTTCCAACTAGCACAAGGAGAGTGACCATAGCACTACTCAGTCATAAATATATATATATATACATATATAATGGATATGTATATAGTACTATATATTATATATGCGGTGTACTATTGCGCGATATATGATATTACATGTCATCAATACATAGGACGAAATATCACCAATACGTAACTATATAATACTGTATATAGCATGGTAATATACTACTATAATGAGAGATAACTATATATATATACATATTTGTGTATATACATACGGTACTTACGCATATTAGATAATATACCTGCATATACTATCATACACATATATATCTATATACGTTCCCCCAGTTCGACAATATATCACCAGCCAGCAAAACAACATTGGAAACTATTACGATTACACATATATATGGAATATCAAAATAGCAGATATTATCATTGCAAACCTTAGATACCCCGCAACAAGAAAATAAGTTGCTAGTTTGTTAGTAGACATTCCTATAGCAAAAGATTAAAGGATCAAAATGAATTTAACTACTCATCCAAGGTTGACCTAGTTAAATGATATCCTCAATTAGGGAGGGGCCTCAGCATATCTAAGTCTAGGCCTGGTATACCTAAAACATGGTCTAAACTCTAAACCCTGCAACCCAGTACTTGAGGGTATGTACATACCATCAATAAGAAACTAGATCTGGTATATTAGATTATATTTCATATAGATTATATAAGTATTACTATGAACTATCATCAATATAGTATATATATATATACATTCCAAAAAATGGTGGTAAAATAGGGCTACCCCCAAGTGATCCATATTTTCGGATTTTCCCTCAACAAAAACCATCCAGCTATTGGGGTATCCCCAACCCGCTAGGTCTCCAGGCCGCCAAGAGGTCTCCCAGCAGGTCATCCACCGAGGTGTCTACGTGGCCGTTTTTGGCGTCCTGGAACCAATGTGACGGGGGACATGTGGAGCTTGGGGAACTCGGATCCCCTCTGGTAAAGGTGGGATTTTAACCAACATGGATGATTTGTGACATTATTTTACAGAAATTATTGATATACTGGATGTACCCTCCTGGTAAACAGACAAAAAATATTGGAACATCATCCATGTTAATGGCTAAATTACCAGTAAATGGCCGTTTTCAGTAGCAAACTGTTAGTTTACCAGAGGGTGCGTTTGCAGGTGGTGCTCCACAGTTTTGCGAAGTTCATCCAAGTTAGATTGCACTTGATTTAACGACAGATATGTCTACTGTTTGCCACTTGTGTTTGGAATTGAATTTATCAACTTAATGTCCACATGCCGTTTACAACCCCCCCGTAACCAAGCACGCCAATCCCTGGAAATATTAATAAACCCACCCGTAATAAAGTACGCCAACCGATTTTTGATATGTTTTTTTGTTTTTTTCTCCCCGTTGTTTTACTCCGTTTTTTCTCCGTTGTTTTTTCCGTTTTCCCCGTTTTTTTCTGTTTTGTTCCGTGTTTTCCCTGCTTTTTTAAGGTAACAGTGGAACCACAAACATCAAAATAATAACAACTATTTTTTGCGCCCCCCTAAATAAAGTATTTTGATTTGAGGGGTCTCAATTTTTGGTGGTTGGAATCGTTTTTAAATTGTTTTCCTGGAAAGTTCTGGACTTGAAAAAACAATTACTTTACTTCGAGTTATCCCCACCATGACATCTATACGTTTTGTTACTGGCAAATCTTCTGGCATTCTAGCTGACATATCTTCTGGCATTTTATTTGGCATATCTTCTGGCATTCTACCTGGCAAATCTTCTGCAATGGGTTCTGGCATATCTTCTGGCACTCTATCTGGCATATCTTCTGGCATATCTTCTGACATTCTATCTGGCATTCTATCTGGCAAATCTTCTGGCCTTCTATCTGGCAAACATTCTGGCACTTTATCTGGCATACCTTCTGGCATTCTATCTGGCATATCTTCTGGCATTCTATCTGGCATATCTTCTGGCATATATTCTGACATATCTTCTGGCATTCTACCTGGCATATCTTCTGCAATATGTTCTGGCATATCTTCTGGCACTCTATCTGGCATATCTTCTGGCAAATCTTCTGACATTCTATCTGGCATTCTATCTGGCAAATCTTCTGGCGTTCTATCTGACAGACATTCTGGCACTTTATCTGGCATACCTTCTGACATTCTATCTGGCATACCTTCTGGCATTCTATCTGGCATATCTTCTGGCATTCTATCTGGCAAACATTCTGGCACTTCATCTGGCATATCTTGTGGCAGCCTTTCTGAATTCTATCTGACATTCTATCTGGCATACCTTCTGGCATTCTATCTGGCCGTTGGGGTCCAGCGGTGCACACTGAGCTGGGCAGGTCCCTGGTTGAGGTCCAGCAGTGCACGCTGAGCTGGGAAGGTCCCAGGTTGAGGTCCAGCGGGGCAGGTCCCAGGTTGAGGTCCAGCGGTGCCCACTGAGCTGGGAAGGTCCCAGGTTGAGGTCCAGCAGTGCGCACTGAGCTCGGAAGTTGGCAAAGAGCTTGGCGAAGAGTTGGCAAGGCGGAAGTGGAGGTGGAAGTTGATGCAGACATGGTCGAGGAGAAACTGGAGGAGGAGGAGGACGAGCTAGCCGAGGAGGAGGAGGAGGAGGAGAACAACTCTGATAAAATCTAACAACCATCACCTGGCAGGTGGGGAAAAAGGCTTAAATCGTTAGTTTCCTTACTAAACCCTTGCAAAAAATGCAAAAAAATCAATCGCGCAAAGGGGGTAGTCCTGAAGACCCTTAACATCTAAATGATAGTGAATGTTTGCACCCCCTAAAAAAAATATTTGGATTTCAGGGGTCTAATTTTTAGTGCTCAGGAAAAGGCCAAACTTCGCTCATTTTATCAAAGCTGTGCTCTGAAGGTCATTTGTTCCAAAAAGCAAGCGAACTTGCCCATACAACGGCCACCAGGCGGCAGGTGACGACTGCAGGAGACGAGGCCAGACAAAAGAAAGCAGACCACACCCTCGCCCCGCAGCCGACACGACGCCACCCAGAGACACAAGTGAGACTTGCAGCAAAACAGCAGACAACATGGGCGCCCCCCCCAGGCCACTGCCTCAAACCAAAGGCGCCCAGACACCGGTGTCCAAACCCGAAGTGTGGTGGAAGGGGTTGGTGGAGGCCTATTGAGACAAATGCTGCAAGATTGGCATGAATTTCCTTCACACTATCACAACGGGGGGCCATAAGCTAGTGCTCAGGAAAAGGCCAAACTTCGCTCATTTTATCAAAGCTGTGCTCTGAAGGTCATTTGTTCCAAAAAGCAAGCGAACTTGCCCATACAACGGCCACCAGGCGGCAGGTGACGACTGCAGGAGACGAGGCCAGACAAAAGAAAGCAGACCACACCCTCGCCCCGCAGCCGACACGACGCCACCCAGAGACACAAGTGAGACTTGCAGCAAAACAGCAGACAACATGGGCGCCCCCCCCAGGCCACTGCCTCAAACCAAAGGCGCCCAGACACCGGTGTCCACCTCCCCCAAAATCTAGCCGGACACGGCTGAACATGAGGTAGCAGGATCAAGCATTTTCCCGCAGGAGAGGTGATGTTGCCAGAAGAAAAACAGCTTAGCGGGACCGGGGGAAGGGGGGGAAAGAAAAGAAACGGATACCTTAGGCATCAAAGGAAAAGTGTGGCCGGGCTTTTCGAGCCAACACTAATAACCGACGAGACACCGCAGGTTCGAGACGGATTTCTGTCAACTGCGCAAGAGCGTCAGTAAGATATACTCTGGCAGTTTTAATGTGATTCCATCTCCCAACGAAGCAGACGTTAGAAAGATTATTGCTAGTTCGAAAGGCATATGTGGCCCCTCCACGACGACAGGAATACCATTGGTATCCTTCACCTAAATGAAGCTCACTCAGAAGATCTTTTAAGCGTGTTCGCATCAGACCAGGAGAGGCCGTACGCAGGTAGTCGCCGGGAGCCAGAGGTGCGACATAGTTAGCCAGGGCTTGGACCAACCAGGGGTCATCAATGACCAGCGATTCATGAGCTCCAACTCTTTGTCCACTTTTAGTCCAAGGTAAACTCCAAACAGCCTTGGTCCTAGCATTGTTCCAAGTGAAGTCACCTTTTGTGGCACCAAAAAGTTCCCCCGTACGCGCAAACCGATCGAAGCCCAAAAGAAGAAGAATGGTGAGGTCAGACCACCCTTTTTGGAAGGCCAGTTGGGCCAAAGCGTACACAACCAGAGGGGTAAAAGGCAAAGCCCGGGCAGGGAGCTCCGTTCTACTCCAACTACCATGCAATCTCCAACTGCCAACAAGAAACCGCTTACACTGAGGGACAAAATGCCCCAGGCCCGAAAGGCAGTCACTAGCAAAAGCTTTGGGATCACCATTATGCCAAAGGGACTCAATGAATTCGCAAACCCTGTCATCGAGGGCAGAAAAAGTCCTAGGATACGTATATCCCAAACACTTAAGAAAAAGTAGAAAACGTGAGACAGCAGTAAAATATCGGTCACGAGTTGCTTTTTGCACCACCAAACTCTGTAAGGTTCCAAGCGCTCTTCTCTCCCTTTTTCTTTCGACTTGCCCTCTTCTGCCCAAGGTCTGGTGCCTAGGCATGAGATCCTTGTCTCTTTTTGGCCCAACGCGATGGGCCATCCGCCGGATTCCACTTGCTTTTGATCCACCCTAGGCAAAGTCGAAAATGGCCTGCCAGGCACACTGCACTGATGCGCCGTAGAGGACCTTGGAGAGCACGAGCTGAACTGCGACCTTTGGTGATGCAACTCACGGCAACTTGGTTGTCGACCAATGTGACCATTCGCTTTGAGTGAAACTTCCCATCTCGTCCCAAGCGGCGGAGCAAGTCCAAAACCGCCACGAGCTCTAGCACATTGATGTGTTGATCCTTTTGCTTCCACTGGTATGACAGCAGGACTTTCCACAGCCAGTGACCAGGATCAATACTTTGGCGGCACAATTCGCCAACGGAGTATGGCATGCCCAAGTCCACGCGGATCTCGCCACCGCGATGAGTCCCAGCACGTGCCAGGAGGTAGGCCAGCATCTCCTCATCGTTGAGCCATTCTTGCGGGTCCACCCATGGCCGCAAGGGCAAAGCGGCAGATGGCAAGACCTGGCTAGCCAGGCTCACCACCCCCGACACCCCCGCGGCCACGCTGGCAAACCGTACTTTCCACGGCTTGTCCTCCTGCTGGGCCTTGTCCTCCATAGCCTTCCATACGTGCCAAATGGCTAGGGTCAAATCCTTGCCTTGACATTGATCCTCTTTGAGCACTAGCCCAGCCAAGAGGCGGGCCACAACAACAGCTGAAAAGCTATTGCCTACCAAGTGCCCTTTTGCGTCAACAGAAAGACGCGCCTTGGTGTTGAGGTGATTGGACGCAAACCCAAGCATCCTCAGCTGTTCCTCAGGTGTAGGACGCCTAGGACCATTTGCATCTACCACCAAGTTTCGCGGTTCATATTGATAGGGGGCGAGACGGAATGAGTCACCCCGCCAACGCCTCAAAGCCTTTTCACTAGCTTTGTCCAGGCCCGCAGGTTCTGGAGGAGGCTGTTGACGAGGAATGGGTCTCGTGAACGTGGCGAAAGGTTCCTCTGGTTCTTCCATCTTGTCTCCCCCTGGTGACAAATACCAGGACAGTGGAGGTCTTTCTGTATCTACCGTCACCTTTTTCACCAGATAGTCATGATCCCGAAGAGAGGTGCCCCGTGTCACTGTCAAGTCAGCTCCCTGAAGGATGTCGACACCTTTCACCCAGTACAGGCGAGGCCGTCTGCAACGCCCCACTTGTGCTGCTTCCACATAGTGAGCACTATACCCGATTTTTCGGGTCTGCGTCCGGTAATCCTCATCATCCATGACCACATTCTCATACATTTCCACCAGACGCCATGCTGGGAGACCCACTTTTGTTGAACTTGTCTCCAACCATCCTCGAATCTTCAGCATAGCGTCCAGCAGCAGGCTAGTTGCCCCAGACGCTCCTTGCCGGTTCACATTGAGCTGAGAGTGATTCACGCAAGGCCAACCGCCCCCAAGGATCACCATAGTGGCCTTTGAGAATTTCTCCCTCCATTGAAGCACGTCCTTTTCTGTGATACTCTGCACATCCTTGTACCAGATGCAGTGCCGACAATGTTGCTTGTACACCTTGGCACACTCGGGAGAACTGTCAATCGCGATGACCCCCATTGGTTCGAAGCCCAGCAAGTCCAAAGCCTGCTTCAAACCTCCCATGCCGGCAAAGACTTCAATGACCACAGCTTTTTCGGTAGCGCTTCCCTCTATGCCGTCAACTTCATGTGACAGGCTCTGAAGTCGAGCACTGCCCCATGGGCTAAGGCCGATTGAGGAACAGGCACCACCACCATCCGGACTTGCATCTGTGGCATAGACTTGGCCACTGACTTTCATCTTTATATCTTGCCAATGCAGTGGTAATGCGCATGTAAGCAACAATAGCTCATCTCTTGAGTCCTCACTCAGCTGGCGTGGGATCGTGGCATTGAGGTCAACGTAGAGGTGATCCATCAGGCAGGATAGCGGGCGGCAGTACTGGACCGAGTGCATGTTCTTGGAAACCACAGACTGAAGGTTGGGAGAGTCAGTACGGACCAACTCCCCGCCCATCAGCCCAAGGTTTGCTGAGGCCAGCGCACATCGGAAGCTCAGAGCACTGCCAACCCATCCCAGATCGCCATCCACCTCTGCACCCAAGCTTTTCCATGAGATTTCACCTTCTGCCGCTTTCTTGGGGTCTCTGCCAACACTCAACTCTTCCATCTTTCTTCGTAGCTTCAGCTGGCTGTCCGATGGCTTCCCTTCATAAAGTCCACGATCAGTGCGCCAAACCACTTGCAACTCATCAAAGTTGTCCACATAGAAGGAGTAAAAACTCCTCGGTGTCTCAAGCGGCTTCATAGGGCTGGGTTCTCCCATGCGAATCATCTGGGCCGCTGCTAGCCCTGCCTCCTTTGCCATGTTTTCGAAGCCATCTTGAATGAAGTCAACCACATTGTTCCACCCCATGGGCGCCGACTTGACCCGAGGGAAGCCAGGTTCTGACACTCCATCTTTGAAGCTCTTGCCAGCAGCACGTCTGTTGAGGCTGAAGAAGCTCCTCCACGCATACCCTGGTCGGTATATGTGGAAGCAATGCCTTTGATCCTCCGCGCAACAGAGGATAATCTCATCTTCATGCATCAGAAGGTTGCCCCACAGCGGTGCGTAGCCCATGCGCTCCGACGCCCTTTCAGGCATCCTTCTCTGGAACGAATTCCCCGGTATCATGTTTATGATGAGGCGAAGTGTCCGGAACCAAGACCCATCTTCCTGAAGCACCCAGGCCTTGTGAACACCAAATGCCCCATTTCGCACCGGCTCACCCTTGTAAACGAGTGTCTCTGCTTCAACCTCTCTCTCGAGCATACCTGAGTCTACCAAGCGTTCCACAATTTTGTCCCACTCTTCTTGGGAGGTAACTTGTACCTTGGCCGAAGTCCTGGGTGCCACCAGCTCTTCATCAGGAATCCGCAACAAGCCGGGGTCGTCCACATAGGGCTTGACCTGTGCACTCACGACCTCCGCCAGGGGTATTCTTGCAGCTTCACCTTGACGTGGAGTAGTAGGTAGAATCGCCGCCAGTGTCAAAGGAAAGGACTTTCCTAGGCTAGGCCCCGTGTACATGTCACCGAGTGACTCAGCAAGGCGTTCCCAAGACTCAGCCATCACTGCATCCTCTTGATCATTCTCCAGCCACTTAAGGCTAATCCTTCGGATTCTTTCGAGAGACATCTCCTGTGCTTTTGTCGGCTTCTTCGCATGCAGCATTCCTTCTGTCAACATTCGGTTGCCCACACCTTGACAGTACAAATAGTTCATCACCAAGATTTGCAGCCATTGCCAAGTTTTCTGACCGAGCCTCTTGGCCTGCGACTTCATCGCCTCCCAGGCATCCAGTCCCAACTCCTCCGTACCACGCAGCTTGGCCCTCACCGCTTCTTCTATGGCTTTTTCATCATCTGAAAATTCAGGAAGTGGAAGAGGCAGGAGCTCAGCTGTGTTACGCTGAAAATTCTCCAGAGCACAGCATGGGAGTGATCTGGCAAGATTTCCCACTCCTCCGGGGCGATCTAAGATCAGCTGCTTCAAAATCACCCCAGTGAGACTCAGCGACAGCTTCTCCCCTGCCCCTCGACGTAGCATTTGACACCAGGCTGCATGAGAGAAGCAGGGCCCTGGGGTCAACCGGAACTCATCCACTAGCCACCTGGCTTCTTGGACGTCTTTGGAGTCAACGTACTACACCTGACCAGCAAGTGACTTTCGTACCTTCTCTTTGTCCAGCTGACTAACAAAGTCTCGGTGGTAGATGGTCATGCCATGATTTTTGTGCGGTGGTCCAACATACACACCTTGATCCTTCCTCCATTCCATGTCAGCAGCCCGGATCTCAATCCCCTTGTAGGTCTCCAGAAGCCGGCCTTCCCCAGATCGAGGATCAACCCCAACCTGAAGGTTGCCGGCCCCCAGAACACCCGAGAGATGCTCACTTCCATTCGGGCTTGCCTCTTCAAACAGAAATTGGCATGCTTTCGTCAGCCGGCCTTTGATCTCCTCTGGTGGGTCACCAGCCACATCCGCAAGAATTTCGAAAAAGGTAAACTGCACCTTCCTCCAGTTGGGACTTGCCCCAAGAGACCGCTCCACCTCGGTGAAAAGTGCGATCACTTCGTCATCTCCCAGCAGGGCACGAACCTTCTCCCGTGTGCTGGCAAGAATGTGGTCCCCACTCAAGGCCGTCTCCATGGCCTCATAGCTCAGCCCTTGTGGGATGGTTCGTGACGGCATCACCAACGGAGCTTTCCCTTCTTGCCTTTGCCTTTTCCTTTCCGTCCTCTGCCGGCTCCCCCGCTGTTCGTGGGAGGAGTCTCGTCTTTTCCTTCTCCGTCCTTCTTTTCTCCTGCGCCGCCTTGAGCGACTGGTGGGTGCCATGGCGTCCTCCTCCGGGGGTACTGGTCGTGCAGGAGACGCAGCTCGCTCTTCTGCTCCTGCTGCGCCGCCTTGAGCTCCTGTCTGAACCATGCTCGTTGCTCGTCCTCGGGCATCACCAATTCCAGGAGGTTGGCCTGGCTCCAATTCCCTTGACTCACGAACAGCTCTATCGACTTCATTCTTTGCAGAGCCACGTCTAGTGCTCGCAACGGGTCGTTCGACGCTACCATGTCGACCATCGTCGCAAGAGTCCTCAACTCCCGCAGGTTGCGCAGGCCTAGGCTCCCCTCCGGGTTTCTGGCCAGATTTGGCTCAGATACGCCCGCGCCACTGCCGGAAGTTCCACCTCTTCTGCAGCCGCTCCCCTGCCTGTCGCTCTCTCCAACAGCTCCTTGAAACGCTGGAGAGTGAGGTTTGCGAGGGCCCCCGGTCGCTCCTGATGGAGCCGGTGCAACCGGTCCACTCCTTGTGGCAGGGCGGCTAATTGAAAAAGCGACTCCTCTGAAGAGTCAGTGCTGGGAGTGGACACTTCTGAAGTCTCATCGTCCACATTCTTCTCCTTGTCTCTTCGTCTCTTTCGACGCTCCTTGCGGTCTCCACTCCTTTTGTCTCTCCTCTTCCTCTTCTTGCTTTTGTCAGAGGGACCCTTCATCTTAAGGGCCGAGCCGGTAGCCAAAGGGGCATTGCGTTGGCTAATCACTGCCCGGAGTCCCTCCTCCTTGTCATCGCCCTCCTTCCGAGGACACTTCTTTTTCGGCTTTTCTTCTTCTGCACCTCTCTCTCGACTGCTTTCTTTTACTCTTTCACCCAAGGCCCGTGCTAGCCCTGTGATACCTTCTTCACCTTCTTTGACCTCCTCAGGAGGAGCCCCAGCACCAGGTGTGCCCGCCCCGGACAGGCCGGGACGAGCAGCCCCGGTACCAGGGCCCTCTGTCTTGGCTTCAAACACTTTCAAAGCTTCAGTCTTTTTCTCTGCCGTCATCCACGACAGCTTCAAGAAACCATCCTCTGGGATGACGCGGAAAACGTCTATGTGGATCGGCTCCCTGTAGAGGGTCTTCACAGCACATTGCTGCGATTGCCGGGCACAAAAGTGGAACGGTAAGATCTTCATCTTGTAGGTATTCTCAACCCACCATTCATAATATCCGTCTTCGATGGCCAAAAATTGGCCCCTCCAAGTCTGCCCCTCTTCGGTGTCCTTATCCTCTATGGCGCGGGCCGTGAGTTGAATGACCCCACGCCCTTGTTGTTGACCTCCGTCATCGTAGAGGCTGACTTCTACCACGGCACCGGCTTCAAGCCCTAACCAGTGGTCCTCTTTTGCCTTCCGTCCTGTTCGGCGCCAAGGTTCCGGCTGAGTCATCAGAGGGTCCCCCCTCCCACCCTGATACGGATCAGGACAGGATTTGGGTCCCCCGAATCCCCAACCTTCCTCTCAGCCGCCCTTTCCTTATCCTATGTCCCTGTTGAGACAAATGCTGCAAGATTGGCATGAATTTCCTTCACACTATCACAACGGGGGGCCATAAGCTTGGTGGTTGGAATCGTTTTTAAACGGTTTTCCTACTTGAACCCTTTCTCAATTGCTTTCCCGGAAAGTTCTGGAGTTAAAAAACAAGAATGCTCAAATGGTTAGTTTCCTTACTAAACCCTTCCAAAAAAATGATCGCGCAAAGGGGGTAGTCCTGAAGACCCTTAACATCTAAATAATAATGGATGTTTGCACCCCCCTAAATAAAGTATTTGGATTTCAGGGGTCTAATTTTTTGTTGGATTCGTTTCTCAATTCCTCTCCTATTTGAACCATTTGTTTTCAATTAGGCAATTCATTTGGGAATAAAAAAAGGAAAGAAAGTCCACTTATGTATTCGTCTTCAACTAGGCAATTTGTTCGGCGCCACATAGGTCTGGAAAAATTCCAGGGACCCCCGGCTAATGTTTGGCTTAAACTTTATTTTGATGCTCTTAATGTTTGGGTGGTATTAATAGCACGTCAACATTAGCTAACTATGGGGCTTCACCTAGTAGAAATGGACATCTTGTGTCATGAAAAGTGGAGAAGAATTATCGTCGCCATTATCTTTATATACCATACTTCACCATGATTCACCTTCAAAAGATTGGGGGCTTGCCTAAAAAAACCCAGGAGCTGACCAGCAGAAATCGGAGATTCAGTGGCAAGGTTGTTGGTTCGGCATGAAAGTTGCTATGGACAGCAACTTGTCCACGATCTGTCCGGTCAATGCGGCTCCCGAGGGCTCCCGCTGTGGTGCACAACGGGGCAGGGCTCTCAATGTCATGCCGCCAGTGTCTGTATTTGGCTTTAGCTTGGCACGTCGATGCTGCCTCTTGCCGCAACGCTTGGAGTCCGCGAGAATTGCTTGCAGCATCCTTTCCTCCACTTAGAGCGAAGTTGCGCGCCGCTCGAACATCGTAGTTCCAAGTTGCTCCACATGTTCACTGAAAATCCCATGATTTCGATCCTCGGACTATCAAATTTGGGAGCAAAACCCATGATAAATTCCACCTTGCATTAGTCAATCCAGTGAACATTTTTTTCATTGTCGCCAAAATATGGTTGTTTCATCACTACCCTTTTAAGGGGGGGACGTGCTCAAATTGCAAGACACAATTTAGACGTTTTTGAGGGAAGGGGGCCTGGTAAATGTCAGCAAGCATTTATTTTTCTAACTGCGTTTTATTTGCAAGATTTCATTTTAGTAGGTCCCCTCACTCTTTACAGGATTTCAATTATTTTCTCAAAAAAAAAGCAGGGGGACGTTCAAAATGTCCGATTGAAAAAAATGCAAGAAAATGAAAAACACATGTAGAATTGTAGTGTGATGGTCTGCAAATAGCTGCAGAATTGCAAAAAAACAAAAAATGCAAACTGAAAGTTTGTAGGACCCCGATTGCCTGGTATTTCCCATACGTTCTACACTTTTTCTGAACCTTTATTTTCATTTCCACATGTACCATAGAGGTATAGAAGGTATATTATTCCTTGCAAATTACTGGAAAACCCTTGAACTTCAAATAAATGCAAAATTAGATGTTGAATGTCTTCAAATTTACCGCCTATGTATGGAAAAAAGCAAAAAATACAAATAAAGATCTCAAATGGACCTCAAAAGGGCCTCAAATGAACCTTTATGGGGTCCCCATGATAAAGCCCCCTCTATGTACCTACATGATCGAACTTAAACATTTTGCCACGGTTCCTATCTAGCCCCCTTATGACCCTCCAACCATTATACAAGAACAATCTACACATGTGTCATGTTGATTCTGAAAGGAACTGTAGAACCTGAGGTGTAGGATGGTTACATTTTTCTATCTTAGTTTTACCTTCTTTTTTGAGCAATTTCTGCAAGGAACTATGGACCTTATGTATAGGATGGTGTTTTTTAAAATCTTATAATCTTATATTGACCTCCTTTTTTAAGCACCTTCTGAAAGGAATTAAAGGCCTCAGGTGTAGTATGGTTGCATGTGTCTATCTCATTTTTACCTTTCTTTTAAGCAATTTCTGCAAGGAATTAAGGACCTCAGGTGTAGGATGGTTACATGATTCTATCTTATCTCCACCTTCTTTTTTGAACACTTTCTGCAAGGAATTCAGGACCTCAAGTGTAGGATGGTCACTGTACATTTGTTTATCTCATCTCTACCTTCTTTCTTAAGCACTTTCTGCCAGGAATTATAGGCCTCAGGTGTAGGATGATTACATCTTTCTATCTTAGTTTTACCTTCTTTTTCGAACACTTTCTGCAAGGAACTATGGACCTCAGACATAAGTTGATTACATCCCCACAAAGACGCCCCACAAACAGTTTAGAAACTGCTTGCGGACATTTAACAATTTCTACCTTCCCCCCCACCCCCTATCCGTAGAGTACAGAAGGGGGGGGGCTCGCAGGGGGGTACGGGGTGACGTATCTCTTACGGACTTTCAACCCCCTCCCTAAATGTAAATCTTCCGGGGCACGGTTTTTGACGTAGGAGGGGTCTAACATACATATAGCCTTCCCCATCGGGAAAAAATACGAAGGGGTCAAAATTGTTGCTTACATTTTTTGAACGTCCCCCATGCTTACACCCGAAAAGGGTGGTGATGTTGTTTCGATCCCCTTTCAACATACCAGTAGTACCGCACAAGGCGGTGGCGGAAGTTTCAAAAAAAGGCAACCTATAGGAGAGGTTGGTTGTTGTGAATCACGGATGGCGCAGAGCGAATCCACTGGTGGACCGACAGGTGGTTGGACTTGTGTTTTTGGAATGGTTGCTATGGTTGCAGTGGTCACCTTACCACAACTCCTGGATGTAGTGTGGTGTAGTGCAGTTACAGTTGTGGCTGTAGTTGTAATGAAGTGGAGCTGTGGCTGTGATGTGGTGTAATTCATTTATTGGCAAGCGCAGTTGCGGTTGTAGTCATGGTGTGGTGTAATTAGTGTAGTGTAGTGCAGTGTAGTGTTGTGTATTGTTGTGTAGCGTAGCATAGTGTAGTATAGTGTAGTGTAATTAGTCTAGTTGAAGGTAGTGTGGTTGTAGTTGTAGTGTAGTGCAGTGTAATTAGTGTAGTGTAGTGTCGTGTCTTGTCGTGTAGTGTAATGTAGTATGTGAAGTGTAGCGTAGTGTAGTGTGATGTAGTGGTAGTTGTAGTTGTAGTTGTGGTTGCAGTTGCAGCTGCAACTGTAGTTGTATAGGGTAAGTGTTTTTACGCACCACACCCTAGCTCATCCACTGAACTGCAGGGGTGGGGTAGTGGCACGCCTGTCCACCTAGTGTTGCACCCGGGTATAGAAACCGGG